GCAAGAAGAACCTGGGGGGACACTGGGGCGTTTTTAACTGGCAAAAGGATCCTGCAAGGACAAGCCTTTTAAAAAGATAAAACCTGGGAGAGAGAGCCCATAGTTCAATAGAAATCAGGCATTAATTCAAAACAGGGCACTGCTATTTCCCTTGGGGGAGGGATTTCCATTTCTGATGGGGTAGTTCATCCACCACAGAGCTTGACAGAGAGCCCCCAAAGGGTGAGGGTAGCCCAGGGCTGAGCCTCGCGAACACGGCCATTAGAAAGCAGCTGGATATTCTGAAAAGTCACTCTGGCCTGTTAGAGTTAGCACTGGGGAGAGGCAAGCAGCACTCCCTCACAGGGCAGCGCAAAGCAGGAGCAGCACTAGCACACACAGAGTGCGTCTGCTCCAGCTTGAAATTCTCTTGCTTCACGTGCCATTTATTTTTAGGTATCCATTCTAGGCTGCAAAAAGGGCTGTATAGCATTCCTGGATAGTGCTGCTTTTTGTCCAGCATAATGCAGCCCCGAGGCAGGTCCTGGGCAGCATTATTTGCCACAGCCCCACTAAACAGACTCCAACTATGCGTGAGTAGATTTGTATTAATTAACACAGCTGGAGAAACTCCTGCCTCTTCTCAGCACTGTTTGTAACTCTTCTATCAGTCGGTCAGACGGTTTGCTTCTCTGACAATGGGGGTGCCAAGCAAGTACATACCAGCTGTCACAGAGGCATAGGCCCCTTTCCAGATAGGTAACAGGACACACTTAACCAGGTTTCGTGGCAAGTTACTAACTTAATCAATTAGCAAAAGTGCAGCAGTTCTTTCAGATCTAGACACTCTATTAAAACTTTTAATCAGTTCAAAACTAAAACTCAGCGACCTCCCTGAATCAGTAATCAACCCTCCCAAATCTGCAGGAGCAACACACACACATCACCCCTGCAAATGGAGCCATTCTACATTGTTGCAATAAATAGGGTAAAAAACACATAGTCCCTTCATCTCCCTCCTGCTGGAGCCATTTTTCCTAGCAACTGATTACATCCTCTGAAGGTCCTGGGAGAAAGCTGGAGGAGGAGGAAGCTGAGGAACAGGTCAATCCTCAGTAATTCTCCATTACTTCAAGCCTTTAAAGGACTGAGCTGAATCTCCAGCTGCTCCCACTCAGGCAGCCGCATGGGGAGGCTCCAGGCCCACAGCAGGTGCCCCAAAGTGAAACCCCAGCAATGCCCCAACTCTACTCAGTGCTTCATACTCATCCAACTCACTCTTGGTGCTTAGTGTTTTATGTTCGTCTGAACACAGCAATCAGAGTACAAAACGAACACTTTCACATCCAGTATGTAACTCAGAGTACACTTCATATCCCTTCTCCTTCCCTGCTCACCAACTCTTGGTAAGCAGAAGAAATAAGAGCCAACAAAGAGCCCAAACACAGCAGCTGTAGGTTGCTGTGCTTGGAACAAATCTGTGAAAACCCCTTTTTCTTTCCCCTTTCTGTACCCCAAGGATGATGCTGTTCACACTAACACACTCCTCTTTCTGGAAGTTCACAGTGTCACTGCCATGCTCATATCCTTAAGACACGCGACCTTAAGAGCACGGTTACCCTGTATATAAATAATAAAACTCCTAGATACTCTGATCACATTACTAGCAATGAATGATATGTTCCATAAAAAGGAAGCTTCCTAAGGAAGCTGCCAGAATGTGCTAAAGGTGGTTATAAACTGAACTTCTGTGTTTCTTGACAGCTGGCCAAAATAACTGAGGAACCAGTTATTGCCATTTCATTATTGCCATTGATTGCAATTTTATTCACCTTCATGAATTACCTTAGTCATATTAGAATAGTCTTATTATTAGGAAGCATTGTGAGATGAGGATTCAGGCTCTTCTTTTTAAAAAACACTACCCCCAAATCCGTTAGCATTTTGATGTAAAAAAAAAAAAAAAAAAAAAAAAAAAAAAAAAAAAGGTCCAGGAAAAAAAAAGGCAATTAAATGGAACTGCTAAAAGGGGGAGGTCTCTCCCTTTAAATGTTTGACTCCAAGGCAGAAGAGGAGGGAGGACCGAGAGAGATGATAATCTCTTTACATGAGAGGCTGACTCACCTTAAGCAGCCCCTTTGCTCTGTGAGTGCTCTTAGCCAGGAAGCAGCTGCACCTGGAGAGGCACCTGCGCAGAGGAAGGTTAGCTTGCAACGGAGGAAGGCCAGAGCTGTACATGAGCTTTCAGCTGAGTACAGGAGGAAGTAAGAAATGTTTGCCTGCTTATGTAGGAATCTTAAAAATATGAAAATTAACTGGTGCTGCTGTGGCAGGGAGTGGGATGGGGGTTGTGAGTTATTTGTGTAGGGCCCAAAGTGAAGTGAGAATGTACATTTAGGCAAGGGAAAGAAAGCAGCTGTGTTTAGTATGAGGTGGCTATACGCTCTTTCTCTAGGATAAACCAGCTTCTGTAGTGATTATGGCCCTTCCCTGAATAAGATTCTGCCTCGTGATATGCAATAAGGCATTTGCTTGAAAGTATGGCTGTTGTATTAAATGATTTGCTTGGGAGGAAGCTGTATAAAAATGGCATGATTTGTAATTGATTGATTGTAAATACCAAATTTTTCCTCTAGAGGTACTAGTTGTGCTCTCCTAAAATAAAGATCTGCCTTTCTGCTCTGCTGTCCTCTGCTGCTCTAACAGCCCTTTCCTCTCAATACCAAGCCCCAAGTCCTTGTCATAGCACTCTGACACCTAAGCTATAGGTGAGCTCAGTAGGTGAGACAGTATTTTTACATTGGTCTAGGTAAGCCTCTTAATCCTTTTTTTTGGTTGCTATTTCTGTTTCCTAAAACTGTTTGCAAAATTAAGACTAGGGCAAATTAATATATTTCCTCTAATTATTAATTGCAGTCATGCTAGCTAAGAGGAAAACAAAAATCTGAAATTCTGGGCATCAGATGATAAAACCACTGTTTGGTTTACCAGGTGTGTGGAGCAATCATTAGGGTTGAGGTTTTTGCAGGAAACAGTCACATTATTTGATAAAGATGCAATTTTCTTCAGCAAGGGTATTTATTTTCGGAAATCACTTCTAGCTAACTAAAAGTTAGTCACATGAATGTTAGGAAGGAATGAAAAAAATCCTTTTTAAAACTAAACATGTATTTGTAGTATGAAAAAAGTACACATTTTAAAAAAGCAACCTTTTTTATTTGTTGATTGCACTTCATCAAAGTCAAGAAACGTTAGACAGAAATTCTTTCTTGAAATGCTGAACAATATATTAGAGTAGGCTACTATGGCAACAGATGTACAGTGTCTGAATTCACATGTGAAGGCTCTTTTGTGTTAACTATTGGATACCTTTTCATTACACAAGTAGAAAATTATACTGAGCTATTTCTGTAATTTCTGGAAAGAGGGCACTAATAAAATAAACTGTCACGATTCCAACTTTACACTTATTTTCTATATATGTATATTTTTAAAATATACCTTATACATTTAAAAAAAAAACAACAAAAACAAAAAAAAGTCTGAATCACCAAAGTGAAAACATCTGACATTATAAATTACTATTTGCATTATACTGATACTTGGCAACTCAACTGATTAGCATTGATGGTATATTGTTATATATTATACAGATTTAAAGTAGATGCTCATCCTTGCATACAAAGCATTATTTGGTTTTTTGTTGTTGTTGCTGTTGCTTGGTTTGTTAGGTTATGTGTTTGGATGTTTGTTTGTTTGTGTTAGATTTTTGCAAAATTTTCCTCTAAAGGACCTTGTTAGTAAAATGCATCAGATTTAAATAATTTTGAAATGATATGACAATGTTCACAGTGAGAAAAAGTGTTAGCTACATACAGTAAAATTAGATAGCAATAACAGGCTCAAACAAGTGTGTTACTAATCATGAGCATGTTCCTCTGCCGACCACTCTTGAGTGGTTCATTTCAGATTTCCTTCAGCATGTAGAGGACTGAATTTATGCAGTGTAAGAGGGCCTTGGGTTTTCAATTTGGAATTCTCTTAACAAAAACGAACCCTTTTTCTGCTATTTTCTCCTATTATTTCTTCTGTTATCGCAACATCTACACTGTATCTATTAGAAGCCCTAAAACAGACTATTATATTTGCCTATTATAAAATACTCCATTTTTAACATGCAGATTAGGATCCTGTGTTCTTCTTCAAGTTTGTCTCGCTTTTGACCTGTGCTCCAAAGCTGCAGGTCTACAAATAGCTGCCAAACGGGGGGCCTAAATGTGATTACAGGCCACCACCTTGGTTCAAGTTCTGCACAGTGCAAGTGCACAGATGCATGTGCACACGCATGCTGCTACTGATGGACTCTCTTGGGGATCCAAAGAAACTTTGCTTGGGTCATAAAAAGGGATGGTAGTTTTTTTAAATAGGAAGATACCAATGGAATATCTAGTTATTACAGAATAAACTGTAAAGTGTTTTTCCCTGTTATCTTTAAGAGTTTAAAAACATCCTCAGGGTTGTCAAAAGTAGCGTTCATTTTGGAGACAGGAAAATGGAACTTTTCTGTTCCTGTGGTTCTATAACTACAGTGACTGTTTGCATAGACATTAGTCTTTGGTTCACGCCGACCCACAGGCAGCATGGCCAATTCCTGAGAGAGGAGAAAAGCTGAAATGAGATGTGTAGCACTTGGGGGAGAAAAGAATGCCTGAACACCTGGGAGAGCATAATATGATTTTGATCTGTTTTCTACCAATTTTTTTTGAAGTTTGATGCTCACTGAAAAAAGCCTCTGGGAAAGATATTTTTTGTTTGGTTGGGGTTTTTTTAATTGTAAATCTGGTCCATCATGTATGGGCTGCACATACAGATATTAAATAAGTAATGATATTTACTGGAAGGCTTAATTTAAATGATAGCCTGAAAATGCATTTTTACAAAGCAGCAAGATATCTTAAGAGAAAAATCCCCAAACTGACTTTGCAGAACATACAAACTTTCTAACCACAGATACGCTAATATTATGAATTAGTGTTGCTATACTCGGAAATATGCAGACTAGGTGTGCTAATTTCTGAGGATATTTTTTCGCTGGCTATTTGTAGGAAGCGGCTGATGACAATGTCTTTGGCCTTGGTGGTCTCCATGTTCCTCTCTCGTGATATCTGCACGCTGATTTGATCCACGTTGGTCATGATGAGCTCGGAGGCCAGGATCCGGGTGGGGGAGGCCCTGCTCGCTGTGCTGTCCATGATATACTGCTTATAGAGCTCCAGCAGCTTCTGCTCCAGGTAGTCATTCAGGGCTGCGTCAGAGAGGGGCTGGTGGTGCGGCACCAAACTTGCCGCCCGCCAGCATGCGGAGTAGCCCTGGGCTGGTTTGCGGCTCACGTTGCTGGGGGGAGTCCTCACCGACTCCAGGGGTGGCGGAATCTCTGAGGACTCCAAGAAGGGACCTATCCCGCTGTCGCAGGTAAAATCTGTTGCCACAGAGCTGATGGGCATTACGTAGTCCCCAGCTATGTGCAAATCATTGTAGTTCTTACAGATGCTTTTACAGGAAGGTCGAACCAGGTAGGCGTCTTTTCTCGTCAGCCCTTCGCAGGCATCCGCAGCTGGAAGTGTCTGCTGGGTGGGCTGCGGGGGATCATCCTGCTGCTTACCGGTGTGTTGGCTGCTTTTATAGCGGACTGAGGAAGCACATTTGCCCGCAGATCTGCATCTCAGAGAGAGACTTTTTCCTTGTGTTTCGTCCACAGAAGAGCAGTTGCCACGCACGGGTCTCATCTCACATGCCACCTCCTCTGCTGCAGCCTCTCTGTAGAGCTCAGAGCTGAGGTGGTCGTCGCAGAGGTAGGTGATCCGGTACAGGTAACCTTCTGACAGCATCCTCGGAGAGAGGGAAGGACAAGCGAAGAACCTAATCAGGTAGTTACTTTTGGGAATCAATCAGCAGACAAAAATGACAAGAAACAATTAGTTTGTTTCAAAATCATCACACGGTGATTATACCTGTAAATCTGTTACTGTCTGCAGAGAGATGTTTTTGATTCAGATATTAACATGAGTGTGTCTGACCTAGATGACTTGTTGGAATGAGTGGGGTCATCAGCTAACCTCCTTGTGCTATTACTAGCATCAATGTATTTTAAACATGGCACTTTTATGCTACACACAGCATAGCCAATGGCTGATGTTGGGAAGAAGGTGGTTTGTTGTAGTAATATTTGGTATGATAACTTATATTTAAATATTCATGGCCTCTCTTTTGATGTTATTGAGAGGCCACTTTTTTTTTTTTTTTCTATATATACTTCAAAGCCCCTTTCACTGTGTGGTTTGTTACCTGCCTCTGAACTATGTTGATTTAATACACACTAAGAGCATAACCTAACCCAAATCTTAGATCATTAAATTATTACCCATTTTTTATACTAAGCAGAATGAAATAGTCTCTAACCTTGAAATATAAAGGTTATAATGGCCACGTTTAAGGTTATTGCTCTATCTCCCCTTAAAGCTAGGGGAGAAAAGAAGGTGTTTGGAGGAATGATTCATATGGCCTATTTTAGATACCTTTATCAGAATGAAACAAGTTGTGCCCTAGATATGCTTATCTCTCTTTGCAGTTACTATAGAGGGACATCTAAACTGACTATCTCAGACACAGAAATCTGCAGCGTATTTCTGATGAGACACATGCCGGTGCAATAAGGTGCCATAGGAAGACACTCCAACTACTCCAGTTCCTTAGCTTTTGTTTTAGTTCTGAGTTATCTTGGTTTAGTCATGAGTACTACCAGCTCTGAAATCAGTTTCCTACAAAGACACAGTCAGGCTCCAGCAGTCACTCACTCTCTAGCCTCTGAGCAGTCAGTTCAGTGTCAAAAGCTGTTCAAACAGGTTAGTGCTGAAAGATGGGTCTTAAAAGCAAGGACATACATGCACCTATATAGTAGCAAATGCTCTGCCCATGCTCTAGAAGTTCTGCTGTTGCACAGTTGTTCTTAATCTCACTTGTGTTCATTTTGTTTTTATTTTTTAAAAGCAAATGGCAAGGGGAGAGCCCTTGAGAAAGATGTCATAAGGAAATATTGTCTGGTCCAGTAAAGAGAAAATACTTAAAATGTTTTGAACTTCTCTTTCTGTAATATTTCTATTTTGTGTGATAGTGATAGATGAGGAAATAGTCTATCTTAAGTGTGAGTAATCTTCTTCATTTACCTGTTAATTATATATTCTTAATCCTCATAGATTCCATCTGCACAAATATGAACATGCCTCGGTTACTTGTCAGTTTGCTTGACTATTTCAAAACACCAGCTGCAAAGGAGCACCAGAGTTGGAATATATTTGCACAAGTTGTGAGAGAGAAGGTGGCATCTCTGGCACATCTCATACCAACCATGCCACATTTTTTGCTCTTTTAGAAGAGCAAAAAGACTTTCAGTTCTCCATAAGGCGTTTCATATATTATGGTTACTAGTGCAAAATACCACACTATAATAAATGTTGATTAAATCCTATCTTGCTATGGATATAGACTTTATTTGGAAGTTGGGAAGAGGAAGAGAGCACCTTTCCTCAGGTGAAAAATCTCTTCTAAGTTATAAAGGAGGATCCAGGGGAAAAATCCAAGGAAGTATTCATGAAAATTAAATGTGTCCAGACACTCTCTTTGGAGACCGTGGTTCCTGTCTGCTGCTGCTAGTAGTAGGTTTCCCATGGACTGCCATAACCCTGGTAAAAGAATATGGGGAGAAGGAGGGATGGACTGAGACCTATGAAGGCATGAGTGCAAATTGGTTTTCCATTAGGCCAAAATTAATGATGTGTAATTACCTATATGAGAAGGAAATAATGTTTGGGGCTTGGCATTTCTTGAAGTATTCTGCTTCCTACTTGTTTTAGGTTTTAGCCATGATTAAGGTACAAAGCCACAGAAATCTTGCTATGATTAGAAATTGATCTCCTCTGTCGTCTCCTTCCTTTTTCTCCTTTTGCACTACAGAAGGAGAAAAACGGAGGAGAAAAGAGAGGAGATTAGTTCCTTTCCCCTCCCCCCCTGCATCCGTAGCCCAGATGGCCTTACTTGACATTACCAATAACTAACACAAACATCAATCTAGAATACTTATATGCTTACTCCTATGCTAATTTTTAATGCTGATACTAAGAACTGAGTGAAAACGCAACACAACTATTCACTTTTTAACCAACATTACAAAAAGACATTTGTGTTCAGGTAGCATGTGACTTTTTTTTTTTTTTTTCCTACCCAGATGTATCTTGTTTCTTGTCATAAGGTGATACATCACCGCAATGAAACTCTTGGTTTCATTTCTTCATGCTGCGTTCTGCAGTACTTATTTTCTGAGTTTAGAACATGCACTCTGAGGCAGCAGTAAAAACAAAAGAACTGGGAAATTGAAAAAGCTCAAGCTCACATCATGCTCAAAACCCATTTCTTTGGTTGAATAAGTTACTATCTCATCTTCTAAAGTTGGCAAGGACTTTTGTTCTCATCTCAATATTCTCAGCTCTGCAACGAATTAGAATTGGAGTTCTGATTGGAGCCAGAATACAGAAGACGTGCCTATGTCTGTCTTCTCTGGGCCTCATACTTAAAATATACAGCCATGTAGAAGAAAGCTGTTATTGCCTCAGTAGGAATGGCTGTTAACACAATTGGGTCAGCCTTAAATCTTGCATTTGACATGTGACAAGGTTGACTGTTTTCTCTCCTTCTTTCTCATGTCCAATCTTTTCTTAATAACCCTTCCATACTGTGTGTATAGATATAGATACACAATATTTGAAGTGCACACAGACAATAGATAATGCCTCCCAATATTTTGGGTCTCACACACCTTAAATTCAGCTGTATTTGCTTTCCTTTTCCTGCAAAATAGTCACATAACCCAATTGCACACAGACGAACAGTCTGGCCTACAATTTTATGTGATGCATTTTGCATGTGAGGTGAAAATAGAGTTTTTTCTTTAGGTAGCTACTGTCTTGGTGGGCTACACACTGAACATATTGAAGGTAGAAGATGATTTTTATCACCCAATCTTTACTATCTTACCCAGTCTTTACTATCTTACACAGCCTTTAGCACTTCGTGATCTTAAAAACACCCTTTATTTCTCTGGGGTTTTTGCATTCTTCAGTGGAAAGAAAGCTCCAAGTCAGAATGAACACATAAAGCCAGTAGTGTTGCCAAGTATATGCCAATTTTCTGGGATTATAAGGCTTGCAGAAGGTGAAAATCTTTTCATGAAGACCTAAGATCAGAGTATGGGAGCAAGCAAATAGCATGGAAGTATTTGGGTCAAGATAAACAAAATATATGATAAATGTGCATCTTGCACAAAAACCTGAACAAGATGAAAAGCTGGGAGTGCAGTTTGATGAGAAAAGGGACTTTCTTTGCATTGCACATATTAAAGAGCTCCAAAAGAGGTCTCTTTGGACAGAGTATGGCTTTAGGCTTCCTGAGTTCCACCTCTGGTATATTTTTCCCATTTTTACACACAAAGTCTTTCAGTTAGTTTTGGGGTCCATCTCAGGGTTCAGGTCATGGGTGGAAGAGTTTCCCTGGCAAGCAGAGCAACTGAAGCATTGAGCCCACTCACACTGCAGAACTGTGCTCTGCTTTCCACTAGGGCTGGAACAAAACAGCCCTCAGGCAGCCCCATGAGTGGGGAATTCCTGAGTAAAGAAGAAAATAATGAGGTATGCAAATGGATGAGTTTGGTCTTTCCTTAATGCTGGAAGTCTACTAATTTTGGAGTCTGAAGCACATTAGGCAAGGTTGCTCTTTAAGGCAGGAGTCAGCCCCTTTTTACCTCGGCAGGGGACTACTGAAGTGGGGTTCTGCACAAGCATCCCAGCTCTACCTGCTGCATGTTTAGCTTCCTCCCTTGCTGCCACTATGGAAAATCGGAGATCCTTGGATCCCTGGGACATGTTGTGGTTTCATAGCAGCAGCGGTTGTGAGCTTGACCTGCCCACTCCACTGTTTGTCTTTAACTCGGGCCCTGTTGTCCTTCCACAGAAGAAAACGCAAGCTGTGCTATGCTGTTGATATAGGAACCTCTTGGTTCCCATATCATCAGCTCAGAAGACACAGGGTAGCTAGGAGTGGCGCTACCACGAGGGAAGTTGGAGTTATTAGGGGAAACAAATAGAAAAGGGTTGGGAGTGTGATAATCCTGTGTTTCCAGACTGGGTAGGCCGAAGGAAGCAATAGAGGGAAGAAATGTCCTTCCCCACCAAGATCACAATATCATATATCTGTGTATTGTCTATCCATTTTTAGTCATGTTAAACTGATGGCTAATCATGCTAACTGATAATCTCTGGGAGAAGATGATTATTTTCATTAAAAAATGTGATTTTGGATGTGGATATATCTTTAATAAGTGGAGTTTCTAGGGACAAGCTGCCATAAAAATACAGTGAAATCTGTATAAATATAGCTCCCCGAGCTCTGAAATAATTTTGCACTTTATTCTATCAGTTTGAGTCTCTTGAGTCTCACATTTGTATCTGATTTGTCATTTCCCATGCTTTCCTTAATCAGCTATACCAATACAAAGTTGTTTTAAGGCCCACCATTCTGATCTGATAGCATTTTACATTTAATATGTGCAACTGTAACAACAGCATGAAACATGAGGCAGAAAAATACTGGTCCCCATGTGGTAAGGATAAGCTGACTACATGATACCTCTGCACTTCTGGTCCTTCTGGGATGGAAATCATCTCATGTTTCTGGATTTCTCAGTATATTTTGAGTTGTCAGTTGTTATGACTAACAATTTATTTCAGTTGAAATAGTTATCTGAGCAGATGAAGTAAAGGGAAAAATGCATGTGCACTGT